ATTACCAGCAGAGTGCACAATGGCGGACCTGAGTTGATCTACATAAGGAACAGGTTTTAAACAGTACCGTAGATTTTATTAGACATTTCATTGCTACTTAGTTTTGTAGTTGTTTTTCATACACAGTGAATTTTGATTTGTGTTACTCAAATATTTTGACCTTTTATTTTATTTACTTTTATTTATTTCATGATTTTGCCTACAGACTACTGATATAGATGATCATGAGCACCTCATTGACGGCCTAGATGCCTTTACTAAATATGTCGTACAAGTGCAGGCAAAGTTTTTTGCCAACGATGTCTATGGAATCTGGTCAAGTCCTGTCTTTATGACCACTAGAGAAGGAGGTACAGTATTTTAAAAATTCCTTTAGGCATATAACCAAGGAATACCAAAACTTAATCACTGTCCTATTAGATAGGTGGCAATCCCTTCACATGATAAACATAATACACTAGATGCTTTACGGAAGTCTCACAACGAGGCTTATGGAGTGGTGTTGTATTTTTGTGAGAAAAAGCTGCTGCTGCTGCTACTACTACTACCACTACTAGTTATTTTAAATCATTAATATTTACAAGGCTGTTATAAGTGTTCTTTGTTACTGTATTATTTTGTAGCTCCGTCCGGCTCGGTATCAGTTCTACCTCTCAAAGAATACAGGAGTGAAAGTAAGGACTATAAAACATATCGGGATGTTCTCATTTCTTGGATGGTAAGTTTAAAATCCCTTCTCCCTTTCCCGCGATTACGGTATTTTCTGAATAAGTCGATGGAAATTTATGTATGTATGTATGTATGCATATTATATAGGTCTATAAATCTGTGACATATGTATGTATAGGAATCTGTGAATTGTAAGTTTGGCTTAGGTTTTTACATTTAGCTTTTGCATATCAAGTTTGCATCTATACCAAGAACCAGCTATCGTTTTTCACATTATTTTCATTATCAATTATTTAATTTTCCAAAACAGGATCTCCCAAAACACCATCATCGAGGAATCCTACTTGGTTACAAAATAAAATTAGTTGGTGAAATCGAATCATCAGACGATCCTGAACATTTCCAGGTTCCAGCCAATAAAACAACATTTCTGATACATGGTTAGTTGCAAACGTTGTACAGACGAAACCTGTCATGTTTTGTCACTTTCTTTTCTAAAATTGTTTTTATTTTTAATGTAGACAAAATAAATAAAATAACAGAATAATTTGGATGTTGACGATTTATTTCAGGATTGAAGAAGCGTCTTAATTATACAGCATATATCACGGCTTACAATGCCATGAGTGCTACAGAGCCCTCAGCGATCCTTATTCCAGTGTCTGACGATAATCTCGAATCAGGTGAGTCATTCTTTCTACGTCATTCAGGCGGTTTCTTTTTGACCTGTACGTCATTCAGGATGTTTGTTTTTACAGGGAACAGTGGTTTATATGTCATTTCACGCTGTTCCCTTTTACGTCATTTACGCTATTAGCTTTTCACGTCACGTTGTTTTTCAAAATGAAGAATACACAACTGGGTTTGACCAGGTATTACCGTATTACTGAGCAGTGTGCTACAATAGTACCTATTACAATCTAATGATTGGAAGTTATACACTAGGCGCTATATTTATTGAAATGACTACACTACTGTATTTTTATAGTGATAGTGCGCCCTCTTTCATGAGTTTCTCAACTTTTTTTTACATGTACATAATCTAGTGAATTAACTTTTTTAAATCTTGTTAGTGCTTTCAAGAAGTGCAAGCAACCTTACCTGTTATGGTTATTCTTTCTTCGAATATGTCTGCACTTGGGTACCTGGTAGTGAATCGATTGAATACGTAGCAAGGTGGCAGTAAGTTATTTTTATATATTGGCCTACTGAATCCAGAGCTCGTCAGATAAAGACTTACATTCATGTCTGTTTATGGTATAATTATAAACCATGTCTTCGTAACACTGGCGTAAATTAAACATTAAAAATATTGAGAAAATTCACCGTAACAGGCTAGGATAATTAACGTATAATCTTGAACGGTAATTCATTAAGTTTAAAGTTTATTCATCCAGAATGTCTATGATATGATTATGTTTACCCTTAAACACACACACTGATAAAGAAATGTAGACGCGTTGCGTTACTTGTTTTCTGTAGCGTGAACAATACCTTTTTAACCTTAACTATTATTGCAGGGATGAAGAGAACGAATATGGTTTTTGGCGGGACTGTACGGACGCGAGGGAGAATGCATGTCATTTCTATGGGGAAATCACTAACGATCGCAAAGTCACTGTTCAACCCAAGGATGAGCAAGGAGACAGCAATTCAGTTGAAACAACATTATATATGTATAACTGTAAGATATTAACGTAGATAAAATTTGGCTATTATTACATATATAATAGTTCGGTAGTTATTGTTATTGTATAGGCCTATTATTAAAACAATATATCACCATCATCGACTCCTTCGTGTTGTTTGACATCATCATCATCAATATAGTGAACATAATACATTATT